AAAAAAATTATACTTATTGTTTGTTTTTAAGTAAAACTATTGGCCTAGACCACAAATATGTTATTTACACTAATACACACCATTAAAATTCCCATAGTGCTACTTTCTGGACCTCAGTGGAACTTATCTCCAGACTGACTTCTGTTCCACTGTGTTTATGACTGTATATGCATACGCCGCATATTTGCTGTCAGTAAAAATTCACATGAAATTGAATCTACCGTTCATTTGAAACGTTAGGTATTTTTAGTTTGATGCCGGAAACAGAATCAAATAACTATATTCACAGTAAATACTATGAAGTATATTATTATGGAAATCATCTTTTGGGAGCTAAATGAGAAATGTGCTTTGGAATAAAAGAAATGCCCAAGGCACACCATCGACACTGACAAGAAGGCAGGTCTCGGAGATTTCCCTGTAACAGGACTGTCCCACCCTTCACCCCAGACCTAGCATAAATAATGTACTACTATCATTGCCTCTGGGTTCTTGCAGGTGTTTAGTAAAATGTAAAGCTAAAAAACAAACAACAACAACAACAAAAGTAGGGTTTGCCAGGCCTGCAGGAAAAGTAACCCCAAGGAGTTAAATAATGAGCATGGGTACAAGAGAGAAAACAGGAAGTACACCAAGAAAAACATGCCAGAGGTAGGTGTGGCCCATCTTGAATGAGAAGTGGGGTTCTTTTTTTTTGTTTTAGCCTTGGGTTGTCAAAACAAGAATTTATTTTAGTGACTTTAAACCATTTTTCCCTTTATTCAGTGGACTAAATAAGAATTGCTTAAGCTCAAGTTAAAACAAAACAACAACAAAAACACTCTTGATATTTTAATAAGTGACCAAGGAGTGGCACGGTGGTAGCGGGAGTTAACACTTAATTCTTGGTCTAGGAATCCAAAGCCTAGCATCTGGTCCCATCTGACTCCATGGTCACTTGGGGGATTAATTTCTCAGGGCTGGCCTAGATTATTTCCAAGGGCCTTCTACCACCAAGGATTCATCTTTTATCTTTTATAACAGTTAAACTGTAAGTATGAAGATCTTCTTACAACTAGTATCAAAATGAGATAGAAGAGTTGGGGGAACAGAAACACACACACACACGCACACACACGCCGACTGTACATGAATAGTTTCACTGTACACAGTGGTCATAATGGAAACACTGCAGTGTGTACACGAAGGGCAGGATGGGGGCTGGGAGCGGTGGGGGCTGGGGGATGGCTGGGGAAATAAATATGAACTCTTTCCTTCCCTGGAAATGTAATACATTTTTCATCAGACTTTCTAAACCAAAACTTGTTTCAAAGCGAACTGAATTCTGTATCCAGCACAGCAACACTATTCCCTTTTAGGTTTTTATCCACATGCCTGCTGACTCCGTGACAGAAATTGTATAAAATATATAAAAATATTCCCTAGGCAACTTCATATCTTGAAAGGTTTCAGTCTCTTAGAACTCTTCAAATAAAGTCACTGCTGTAAGAGAAAACAGAAAAGGGAAAACTTTTATCAAAATTTAAACATCATGTCACATATTAATCTGCCTGAATATTTAAAAACAGAGAAATTTTAATCCAGCCTGTCCCACCCCATTCCTTTTCCCATTATACATTTCTTTTAGAACTCGGTCTATAGAAATTTAAGTACCACAATTGCAAAAGGACCCCATTATCTAGGTTTGACAAACCAAAAAGTAATAGAACTTGAGAACCACAGAATACTAAGAATATCAGTGTTTTAACACATGCTTCTAAGGTGACTGGTGGGCATTTCCATGGGATTCATGTATCACTTCTCCTGGGGAACATGTTCATTAATTCTCCACCACATGCTGTCAAGTTACAAGCAACAGAGTGGACATCCTCGGTCATAGGAGTCGTATGAATCAGTAAGGTGTCTTTCCAAAGCCACACCAAATAGAATTAACTCTGTAAGGTGTCTTTCCAAAGACGCACCGAATAGAATTAACTCTGGTTGTCTACCAGAGTTAATTTGGTTAGGATTAACCAAACCCAGAGCAGTTTGGTTAGGATTTTGTTGGGCAAGTAAGAACACAACGATAAAACATTCAATCTTAGCTCTCCATGTACACCTTGAAGGTTCTGCATTGTATTTTTAAGTCATTCTAACAACTGGCCCATCTCAATGTTAATATTAAAAATGAAGCTTCCATACTTATAAAATAGATTTATACTTCCCAAAGGGCTTTTGACAAATATCTCATCTAATTGGCCACCCTGTACCTTTGTACTTTCTTGTTTTGAAGACTGGGATAACCCAGGGCAGGACTAAAAGTCTAGAGCTGCCTGTGCATGTTGAAACATACATACCATCAGGCGAACCTACACAAGATTAAGGAACAAAACATTCTCTTATAGGCCAAAATCCTGTATGCCTATAAATGCTAAACAATAGCAGGGATGAAACCAGCTTGCAGAAATACAAACAAATAGCAGACAAAGTCAATAAAGATGTCTTTTTTTTTTTTTCCTTTTTTTCCTTTTTTTTTTACTGACCGGTAACGGGATCGCAACCCTCGGTGTCGCGCCTGTACCGGGGACCGGCAACGGGATCACAACCCTCGGTGTTGCGCCCGCACCACGCTCAGCCAGTGAGCGGGAACCGGTCTCCACATGGGATCCGAACCCTCAGCGGGAGCGCCGCCGCGCTCTCAAGCGGCACACTCTCCAGTGCGCCACCAGGCCGGCCCTAAAGATGTCTTAAATGACATATTTTTTACTTATTTTACAGCTCCTCCTTCAAGATATTATCCATATTATCTTTTTTTGTCATTCTGTTATTCATAATATTCACAGTGGTTATTAGAGAGTAGAGACAGAGAAGGAAAGACAGATACGGAGGGACAGAGAGAGAGAGAGGAAGAGATGTGGGGGAGAGAGAGAAATTGATTTCTCAAATGAGATGGGTTGGATAAAGGACCTTATCAACTTAGCCAAAAAGGAAATGAATATTGTCCCCTAAAATGGCATGAATCAAGCTTTTAATCATAATGAAATAAGCAATTTCCTGCACTGCATTACCACCGTCTAGCACAGCTGAACCACAGATCTGTACTGCGAAGCTGAACAATGTCAAGTTCAAGAGTACTTTCAGGAAGGAGTCAACTCACATGAAACGTTCTAGCATAGAAAAAGGTAGAAAGGCCAGAGGTGGAGAAATATAAAAAATAGGTCTGAAAGTAAAAAAAAGAGAGAGAGAGAGAATTTTCCCAGAAAAACTTTAAACTAGGCCATTATATAGAAAATAGGTATTCCACCACTTTTACATCTCCTCATGTGCTCCCATAGACCCAGACATTTTTGCACAGAGGAAAATAACAAAGTGAAGGGTGAAGGACATCAGGCCTAGAGTGTCATGGTCCATCGCAGTCACAGTTTTCATTCCCCCCCTAGGAGAACTTCCCATTCAGGATGTTTTGCACAGATTTGACTGACTTTAAGAAGTGGGCATGCAAAGACCGCAGGCTGGGCTAAGAATGAGGGGTCTGGAGCTAGAGGTCTGGATTCAAATCCAGACCCCTATTACTAGCTGTTGAACCTCAGCTGTCTCTTCATCATTCTGTTGTAGGGTTGTTGGGGGTTTTACATAAGATGACATACGCACAATGCTTAACATGTGGCTGAAGAGTCAACACAACACACTCCCAAAGGTCAGCTATTATGATCATTACCATCACCCAAGTCTCTGCTTTAAACAATCACATTAGCTTTCTTCAACAACTGCCTTCTGCAGCTGATTAAAACTGCACTGTCGTAATACTTTTGGAAGGGGAAATGAAAAATACAAATTGCTGCTTAAAGTCCACACCACTAATACCAGAAACTAAGCAGAAAAAGGAAAGTTGATCTTTTGAAACTCTTGGCAGTTCTGGTCTCTCCTAACAAACACACTCTTATTTATAAGGCAGCACTTTTTAGATGGTTAGAGAACAGCCTTATAATAACACCAAGGTCACAGGTTCAGTTCCCTACACCAACCAAGCAGCCCAATAAATGAATGAATGAATGAATATAGATGAATGAATGAATGAATAAAAATAAAGGCAGCACTTTACTGGCCCGACGGCTATGAATTTCCAGCTAAATACCTGTATTACTAGAATGACAATCTAGGGGGAAAGAAGACATCACACACTATGGCTTGTAAGTTTCCAACTGTGGCCTTATTTCTCGTGATGAAATGAGGTACCTAAAAGTACGAACTGTGTCAGGGTGCATTTTCACGTTGTTAAACCCCTTCTCATTTCATTGCACAGTTGTACATATATCCATAGGGATAAACAAGCACACCCTGTGAAACAGCATTTCTTTACCACTGTACACCAATAAAAACATTAGAAGGGGCCTTCCATACCGTCCTACAGTAACCCCTTCTCATTTCATTGCACAGTTGTACATATATCCATAGGGATAAACAAGCACACCCTTTGAAACAGCATTTCTTTACCACTGTACACCAATAAAAACATTAGAAGGGGCCTTCCATACCGTCCTACAGTGACCAGAAGCCACGTGTGAGCCGGCACAGCACTCCGTGAGGCTAACAGCAGTGGGCGGACAGACAGGGAGGAATCACCTGCCCACTGTTCTCAGTTGCCATCGCCAGGGGACCCCACCGTATTTTACAAGCCTGACCTCTCTCTCTTTTGGGGAAATTTGTTGATTACAGTTCTACACAAGTGAGTGCTCAAGCTGGAAGAAAGTAAGTAAAACTTTCTTACACTGAAAACCCAACTCAGAAATCCCAACTACTTGTGTAACCATTTCTCATAAAACGAGACTGATGGACAAAAAAAAAAAGCCTCACTAGAGATTAATCTAAATCTAAGCAAGAGGTCACCTTTCTTTTTTTTTTTTAACGTTTGTGGCTTACTACATAATCTTTTTTATAAAGATAAAGCTATAATTTTATTATTATGATTCCACAGAAGCCACAGTATGTCTCTGATTATGATATATATATATGCCTGCTTAAAAAGAATTCTCTAGAAAAAAAGGATTTGGTCCTTTTAAACATTAGAAACATGAAGGGCTGGCCAGTTTGGTCAGTTGGTTAGAGAACCACCTTGTAACACCAAGGTCAAGGGTTCAGATCCCATACTGTCCAGCCACCAAAAAAATAAATAAAAATTAGAAATATGTTTTAAGAAACTAGAAGCCTAAACATATTAATAGATGGGGAACACTAAGACCTCAAAGGGCAGGTTGTTAAGGAAGGAAAAGGCTGTCCAACTAATCATAACAGTAGCTGACATCTGCAGAGTTCTTTCTACGTGCCAGGTACTGCTATGCTAAGTATACCAGGTTCATTAACTCAATATTCCAGATGACTCCCTGAGTCAATGACGACTCCCATTTTCATAGGAGGAAACTGAGGCTTACAGGTTCAATAACTTGCCCAAGGCCATACGATTAATAATGGGAAAGTAGGGATTCTACCCAGGCAGTCGGACCTGGAAGCCCACACAATTATCCCTACCCAACTACCACAGAGACATCCATGCCATCACTGAGATCTTCTGGTACCACCTGTGTGGGGGCAACAGAATGGAAATGTAGGAACTGGAAACACTGGCAGGGCCTCTCCCAGGGCAAGTCACTGTAGTTCCGTGAACAGTTAAATGATGCTCTAAAGGGCGCCCAGTCCCCAGGATGATCAAAAGTGCACCTGTACATTGAATTCTGATCTTATTGAAAGTTACAAGGCTACAGAACCACATGACTGGATTAATAATTTTCTAAAACATTTTCAAATAATATAAATGGAGAAAGGTGTCTGTAGAAAGAGAGTTAAGATTATGACAGCAATATTTACATTGAAGTCCTGGAACTACAGGTATGTAATCATTCATTAGTAATCTGTAATGCTTTAAGGCTCAAACTTTTGGTTAGGGGATTATTTTTTACCAGGCTCTACTGGACATTTTGTGGTTAATGCCCACAGGTTACGGTTGCTGAAAATGTGACACCATGGGCCTTTCAAAAGTGCTCCCTGCATAGTTGGCATCTTGGCAGGTGTAGATTAACAGGAACACATCAGAATGTACTTCGTGTTTGTAGTCCTTTAAATCTTGCTCCGATCTAAATTGTGTGTTAAATGTTATAAATTAATATTAATATCTTCCTAATTTAATAACTGCTCCTTGTTTACTTAAAAAGCACAATAGATTCCTGTTAATCTAGGCTAATCTGTGCAGTTTCTTTAAATCAACATTTCTCAGAATGATCAGCAAAACCTGCTTTAGAGTTGGCCTAAATATTATTTAAAAACCGCAGATTCCCAGACCTACTAAAGCAGAATCTATGGGGTTGGAGGCCAGGACTCTGCCTTCTTACAAGGTAACCAGTTGATTCTAATGTGCATATAAAGATTTTAGTTGTTAGGCAAAACCCAGTACTAATGTTTATCAACCAATTAATAACTGCAAAAATTAAGTTCACTTCCAAAGGGTAAAC